GTTTTTCTTTTTTTATTAAAAAAATAACAATTTTTTATAAACAAATTAAGTTTTTTTTAAATTTTGATGATTTTTGAAAAAAAATTTTAAACATAACTGGAAATACTAAGAAGATTTTGCAAAAAAGTTTAGAGTGGGCCGATAAGTTTTAAGGCCTTTCTCCAATAGGATCCTAAACTCTTGCGTTGCGTATGCATTGCGTCGGTTGCTATTGGCAACCAATGCTAAAATCAACGCGTCAGTCACGCAACGCAAAAGTTTAGGTTACTATTGGAGAAAGGCCTTAATGGAGCGTCTCCAATAGAAACCTAAGAGCATTCGTAAACGTATACGTATGACGTCACCAATGCCGAACTACATGGGAACCAACTCGATGTGTATGCAAGGCTTGTATATTCTGCACAGGCCCTTATGATGCGTCTTCAATGGGACCCTAAGAACAAGCGTTGCGTATACGTCTCGTTGGTTCTCATTTAGTTTAGTATTGGTGATGTCATACGTCTGTTTACGAATGCTTTAAGGGCCTGTCGAGAATAGACCAAAAACATGAACGTAAATATAACGTCACAATGTATTTTAAATGGATACGTTACGTTCACGTTTATGTTTTTGTCTATTCTGGACTCAACCTGAAGTATCTTCTGCAATGGACACATTCGTACGCAAACGTGTACGTTCCGTGTGACGTCAGCACGAAACGTTCACGTTCACGTACGAAGCAACCAAAGCTGAGTCCAGAATGAGCAAGTTACGCGGTACGTTAACGTTAACGTGTGATGTCACACATTTGAAATATCATTATGGCGTCAGCACGTTAACGTTATAACGTAACGTGTTCATTCTGGACTCTGCTTTATGTCGGTTTTACAATGGTTACATTTGTACATGTACGTGCACATGTACGTGCTGACGTCACAATGTTCTGCAAATAGGTGACGTCAGTACAGAACCTACACGTTCTCGTACACACGTGCCCATTGTAGAACCGACATAAATGCCTTTCTCCAATAGTAACCTAAACTTTTGCGTTGCGTGACTGACGCGTTGATTTTAGCATTGGTTGCCAATAGCAACCGATGCAATGCATACGCAACGCAAAAGTTTAGGATCCTATTGGAGAAAGGCTTTAAGGCCTTTCTCCAATAGGAACCTAAACTTTTGCGTTGCGTAACTGACGCGTTGATTTTAGCATTGGTTGCCAATAGCAACCGACGCAATGCATACGCAACGCAAGAGTTTAGGATCCTATTGGAGAAAGGCCTTTAAGGTTCCTATTGGAGACGCACGATTGGAGTTCCAGCTGAACGTTGCGCGGTGCGTGTCACTATGTATTACACGGGCTATGCGCGCTGTAAAAAATGTTTAAATAACCCAATTTTCCAATGCGTGCCATTTTTTTCTCAAACAAATATTATTCAGAAGGGTATTAAGTATGTGAAGCTTTTTTTCAACTTGAAATTCAATTGTTATCATGGTTTTTTATTTTTTGTTTATAAATAAACAAATCAATGTTTTTGCACAAAAATATCAATAAAACTATGGTTCAAGACAAGAAGAATACCGAAATCGAAGAAAATTATATATGAAAAAAGGTTTAAAATTTATGCATTTTTAGGTGTTGATTACAAAAAAAAAAAGCAAGCCCAATAAAATTGGAGTTGATGGTCCTGCCGTTGTCAATGTATTTTTCCACCAGAACATTTTTACGTATTTTGACGTGTAGAATATAAGAAAAAGTTAACAAACATGATAGGAAATTGTTTTAATTGAGTTTTTTTCGAAAAATAAAAATTGGATTTTATATCAAATAAGATCGCTGTGTATAAGGAACCCTCGATTTCATGAATAGTACGAGTGTAACTCGCATTTGTCTGATTTTTTTTACTGAAAGCACCTCTACTGCGCCATCTGTCCCTTCTTTCTGTAAGCGGGCAATCGTTTTTTGATAATAAAAGTTTTAAAAAGAAAATAAAAATAATAAAAATGCATAATTAGTTTTTGAAATAAATAAATAATTTTTTATTTAAAATTGTAACCTCTATTAGTTTTTAATAATTATCATAAACAAATTCTTTTATTTATATTTTTGTATTACAAATTTTTCAAAAAAAGTATAACTTAAATTATTTTTGATGATAAAATAATTTTTAACACTAATATAGTATTACCCCTCTATATAGGCAACCTGTTGCGTAAAGTCTATTTTTTTATGACAAGCTGTCAGATAATATTGACTATAGTTTTTGATTATGATTATAGTTTTTTGATAAAGAGACCTTCTTTCGATAGTGTCTAAATTTTTGTTTTAAATGATCAAAGTGAAAATTTTCAGTAAAAAAGGAAAAAGTGTTTAATAATTTTTTTACAAAATCCAGAAACATTATTTAAAAAAGGGCTCTTTTCCAAAAATCTATAGTAAATACAGATTTATGAAAAAATTTGTTTATTAAGATTCGGTGTTTTTACAAGCGTCAATATTATTTCCGCAATAAAAGTTGACAGCTTGTCCTAGAATTGGCACGTAACGCTATAGGTTGCCTATAGAAAGAGGTATTACTATTATACAATAAAAATTTCTTTTAGAAGCAAAAATTTTGAATATTATATTATTAAATATTAATTAATTATTATTATTAATTGATTAATTAATATTTTTAAATTTTTATAAAAATTTTTGTTGCAAATAATTTTTCAAATTTTTAATATTTTTCAAAATATAGTTTTAAAAACATATTAAAAATTTTTCTAAATACTCAAAAATAATATATATATTTAAAACTTATTATTAATATAAATAAACAATTTTTTTTGTTAATGTATCAAAATTAATATTTTTAAAAATGTTCATTTACAAAAAATTGTTTGTTTACCTTATAAGATTTCGATACAGGATAAAGTATTATCCCTTTCTGTAGGCAACCTGTCGTGGTACTGCCATTTTCTACAATAAGCTGTCAACTTTTGTCGCGGAAATAATATTGACACTCCTTCAAAAATTTTACACAGATAAACAAATTTTTTTTTAAATTCTTATTTGCTATTTTTTTTATAAAAAGCATTTTTCTTACTAAACTTTCGAAAAATTCTTTTTATAGAAAATATCTAATTTTATAATAAATTTTATTTCAACATCTCCTCTGTCGCCATCTGTGTTCTTGCTTAGAAAACACGTTTAGAACAAGATTTCTTGACTCAAATTCTCGCGTGGCAATACGTCTCTCAAGATATTCGTGAGACATGTGACGGCCATTTTCTGTAGCAAAGTGTCAGTTTTAATATTAGGATTAATTTTCTTGCTCGAGGAAACATCGAAATCTGGCAAACAAATATTTTCTAAAATCCTTATACCCTATAGTTTTTTGATAAAGAGCCTTTTTTTTGTAAAAGTGTTTGGTTTTTTTTTTAAAAAATGATAAAATTAAAATTTTTAAAAAAAGAGGGGAAAGTGTTTGAGAACCTCTGACAGTTTCTCCGTTCAGCACCCTTAATGCACACGAGCAACGTAGTCGGCCGCTTGCGGACGACAAAGTTGCTAGTTTTCAAAATATAATTGTCTTTGAATTCATTCATTCCGTCCGAACCCCTGCTGGGTTTTCAGTGACAGAGAGAAAAACAAGTAATGGAGTGAGAAAGATGTATCTTTGCTTGGCCAATGAGTATACCTGAGTCAGGTAGATCATTTCTCTAAAAGTTGTTGATGAGTAACGTACTTGAAAATTGAAATGTTTTGTACAATATAATTGCATTTTTGATTTTCGAAACTGTTAAAAATTAAAAATATTTAATTTAATATTTTTTTTGAAAAAATAAGAAATATTTTTTTTTGAAAATAAAAAATATTTCATTTCATTTTTTTTAAATCAGAAATATTTTTTATTTTAAAAATAAGAAATATTTAATTTAATTTTTTTTTGTAAATAATAAATATTTCATTCAATTTTTTTTTTGAAAATTGTATATTTGTTTTTTTGAATATTGCATATTGGACTTTGGTGATTGGATATTGGTTTTTGGATATTGGACTTTGGATATGGATTTTGGATATTGGATTTTGGATATTAAATGTTGGATATTGGATTTTGGATATTGGATATTGGATTTTGGATTTTGGATTTTGGAATTTGGATATTGATTTTTGGATATTGGATTTTGGATAGAAAAATTTGGATAAAATAAAATTCGTTGAATTCTACCATGGCCAACATAAAAGAATATGTTGTTTTAAGTAATGAAGATTTCAAAATAATAGAAAATAGAAATGAATTGTTAAATGACATGCATATGTATAAATTTGAAGATTTATTGAAAAAAGATTGAAATTCTTTTTTTAATATGCAAAGTACTTTGTATTTACAAATGCTTCAATTAATTGTTCCAATTAGAGAAGGTGATAAACATATTCAAATACTTTTTAGTGGTAGTAACAATTCGGGTCATTGGATTTGTGTCTATTACGATGGAGTAAGGCTTTATATTTTTGATAGCCTAAATGCAGGTTGTTTAAATGTCCATCAATTTGATTATTTAATTAGATTGTTTCCTTTTAAACCAATAGTAGTTTTTGTAGCTGTTGACCAACAACCGTTTGGAAGTGTTGAGTGTGGATTATATGCAATAGCATTTGCAACCTCTGTATTTTTTAATGTAATGCCAAGCAGCGTAAATTATGAAATTGATAATGATATAATGAGAAAGCATTTGAAGTCAATGTTTGAAAATAATACGTTAAATCATTTCCCGGCAGTAAGAGCGTCTAAAATAAGGAATTCGATAGTAGAAAATAATTGGAATTGTCTTTTCATAAATCGATCTGAAGAACTGAAAAATGGTAAACAAAATCCTTTTCATGTTTTAACAACTATTTCCGGTAATAGTGTCAACAGAGTTATATCACTTAATGATTTCGAAATAAAGCATTCTTCGAATGATGTAAGTGAAAAAAAAGACTTTGTGTAACTAATAAAAATGTTAAAGAAGCTTTAACACTGGAATATTCAGAAATGAACCAATCCCTAAATGAAGAATACGATAAAAAGAGATTTATAACAATAAAAGATAAGGAAAGAAAACAGAAAGCAAGGCGCGAAATGACGGATGAAAAGAAAAAAATTATACTAGAGAAAGATAGACTGAAAAAACGTATGCGCAATGAAACAGAAACAGAAATACAAAAGATAGAGCGTCTAAAAGGAAATTTGATATGCAAAAAAAAGAAACTATCTATAGAATCTGAGAATGAAAAGAAAATATGCAAAGAAAAAAATTTGGCATGTAAAAAGGCAAAATTATTTATGGAAAGTGAAGATGAAAAGAAGAAACGCAAAGAAAATAATTTGGCTTGTAAAAAAAGTAATAAAAATAGGAAAAAGATAGAAACTGTAGGAGTTGCAATTATGTCTTTTGAAGATTTTGATGAAAGTGAAGTTCTAGAGAATTATTTAGGTATGATGAATGTAAAATGTAAGTTTTGTAGTGCGTTACATTTTTTGTGTGAAAGGCCGTTAGATAAATTATTTCAAAGTTGCTGTCATAAGGGTAAAGTGAAGTTAAAAGATTTAAATCCTTATCCGCTTTATTTAAAAAGTTTGTTACTAGATTCAAGTGTTGAAGGAAAAAATTATAAAGAAAATATTCGTTGTTATAATAATTCGTTTGCTTTCGCCAGCATGGGAGCTAAGTTAGAAATTCCTAAAGGATATGGTCCCTATGTTTTTCGTGTACACGGACAAGTGTATCATAATACATGTGCTCTTCATCCTGATGATAATGAAAACCGAAAGTATGGACAGTTGTACATTCTTGATACCAATGATGCAGTGCTTGAACGATTAAAGAATAAATGTAATGAGAAATGTTTATCATCATTAATGGAAGAAATAGATAAATTATTAAGAGAAATTAATCCTTATGCTAAAGCATTTCAAATGATGAGAGAGGTAGAATTAGTAGAAGAATCACTAGCAAAATCTAAAAATAAACCTATAAGAAATATTGAAATGTGGATTAAACGCGACAGATCATTAAATCAAAGTAAATTTAATGTTCCGTCTTGTAGTGAAGTAGCAGTTGTATTTGTTAGCGAAGATGGTGAACCTCCTATGGAACGTGATATATGTATATACCCAAAATATTCAAAGAGTGTTCCAATTTCTAGTCTTAGTGAAAATGTTGATCCTATGACATATCCTTTAATGTTTCCTTATGGTGATCCTGGATGGACTGTTAACCTTAAGCATACTGAAGGTACTCGTAATGTAACACCTTTACAATTTTATATGTATCGCCTTTCATATAGAGGATCTTTCAATCCATGTTTAAAATTAGGAAAATTAACTCAGCAATACATAGTTGATGTCTGGTCGAAAGTAGAAGGTGAACGTTTAAAATACATTCGTTTACAACAAAAAAAGCTTCGAGCAGAATTGTATTGTGGATTAATGGATTATATTCACAATAAAGCAAAAGACGAAAATGTCCGACCTGGAAAAATGATTATTTTGCCATCAACGTTTATTGGAGGACCACGTTGTTATCAACAATGTTTTATGGATGCTATGCGATTAGTTCAAGAATTTGGAAAACCACATTTATTTATAACAATGACATGTAATCCAAAGTGGCGTGAAATTACAGAAAATTTGTTGGATGTTGAAACTGCGTCTGATCGCCCAGATCTTGTAGCTAGAATTTTTCAACATAAAGTGAAAGAGTTAATGAAAGAAATAAAAGACAAAGAAATTTTTGGCCCAATTATTGTATTTGTATATGTTATAGAATTTCAAAAACGTGGATTGCCACATGTGCATATAATTATATTTTTACGTACACCAATTCGAGATGCAGAAACCTTAGATAAAATGATATGTGCGGAAATACCAGACGAAACGAAGAATCCGGAACTTTTTAATATTGTAAAGCAATTTCAAGTTCATGGGCCATGTGGTAAAGAAAACATGAGTTCTCCTTGTATGGATCCTGAAAAGAAAGTTTGTACAAAACAATATCCGAAGCCTTTTTGTTCTGAAACAACTTATGGTTCGAAGAATTATCCGGAACTCAGGCGAAGAAATGATGGAAAAAAAATTATTTTTTATAAACAAGATGGATCAATTAAATGTACTGCTGACAATTCGATGATTGTACCATATAATCTTTATTTAAGTAAAACATTTAAAGGTCATATTTGTGTTATACCATGTGGTAGTACGGATGGTATTAAATATTTATTCAAATATATGCATAAAGGTCATGACACTGCAATAATAGGTTATAAGGATGATAATCAGGAAATGGAATATGATGAAATTGAACATTATTTAAATACAAGTTATGTATGTCCACCAGAAGCAATGCATAGATTATACGAATTCAATATGCATAAACAATCACATGCAACTTATAGATTAGCTGTACATCTGCCTAATCAACAATCAGTATGTTTTAAAGAAGGATTAGAAGAAGAAGCAGTTAATAAATTTAAAAATACTACATTAACAGCATGGTTCAAGTTAAATGTAGAAAATCCTGAGGCACGGAAGTATTTGTACACAGAAATACCACATAAGTATGTTTTTGTTGGATCATCTAAAACTTGGAAAATAAGGGAACGAATTACTAAACCTTTAATTTGCCGCATGTATTTCGTAAGTCCGAAAGATATTGAAAGATATTTTTTGAGAATCTTACTGCTTCATGTACGTGGTGCTAAATCGTTTGATGATGTAAGAACATATGAAGGTATTACATATAATACTTTTACAGAAGCAGCGCGTGCAAGAAATTTGATGGTAGATGATAGTGAATGGGATAATTGTTTGACTGAAGCTGTAAGCATGAAATTTCCTAAAGAACTTTGTCGTCTATTTGCATATATATGTGTGTTTGGATTTCCTCTGAATGCATTTGATTTATGGAATAAGTACAAGGAACACATGATTTTTGATAATAATGTACCCGTAGAAGTAGCACTGCAACAAGCATTAATATTAATTAATGAAGTGCTTAATTTTCATGGATTTGCTTTAAATCAATTTGGTTTGCCTAATATTGTTCAACAAATTCTTGAAGATTATATTTTTGTCGATAAAGAAGCTAATGCATTAGCATTAAAATTGCTAAAAGAAGAAGCTGAAATACTCATAAAAAGTTTGAATAGTGAACAGCGCAAAATTTTTGATGATGTCATGGCAGCAGTACATAATGATAATTGCAAAAATAGGTACTTTTTCCTTTCTGCACCTGGTGGCTGTGGTAAAAGCTATTTAGAAAACACAATTATTACTGCACTTGAAAGTGAAGAATTGGTAGTTTTAGCAGTTGCATGGACTGGTATAGCAGCTAATCTTTTAAGAGGTGGACGAACTTCACATTTAATGTTTAAATTTCCTATACCAATCAATGAAGATTCAACATGCAATATCAGTAGAATGTCAAAGCACGCTGAACTGTTAAGAAGTGCCAAAATCATTATTTGGGATGAAATAACAATGGCACCTAAATTTGCTCTACAAGCAATGGAGTCTATGCTGCGAGATATTACACAATGTAATGAACCATTTGGAGGTAAAGTTATTTTGCTTTCAGGAGATTTTCGACAAACATTGCCAATTGTTCCACATGGTAGTCGCACACACATTGTTGAAGTATGTGTGAAAAATAGTAGATTGTGGGATCTTTTTTAAAGTAGGTCCTTACATATTAACGTTAGATTACAGAATAATGATGTAGAGTTTTCAAATTGGTTACAAAATGTTGGTGATGGTAAACCTCAATCTATGTTTGAAAGAGAAAACAGTGTTTTAGAAATACCACAGGATTTAATTTCTGATGGAAATTTAATTGATGAAATTTATGGATCGTCAATAAATAAACATGATGAATCTGTTCATTCAGCTTGCATTCTTTCATTAACTAATTCTGAGGTATTAGATTTGAATGAACGTATTTTGTTAAAATTAGAAGGACAAGAAATAATTTATTATAGTATTGATTCACATGTCGACGACGATCGAAAAGATGTAAATAATATTGTTCCAATAGAATTTTTAAATAGTCTAACACCAGACGGTTTGCCTCCTCATAAATTATCTTTAAAGGTAGGATGTATAATTATGCTTTTAAAAAATATGAATTTGGTTCAGGGATTATGTAATGGGACTCGATTAGTTGTAAAATCATTATTGAGAAACGTAATTTCTGCAGAAATAATTACTGGAAAATCTAAGGGAGAAATAGTTTTTATTCCACGCATTGATTTATCTCCTTCACAAGACACATATCCATTTAGAATGATAAGAAGACAATTTCCAGTTAGACTTGCTTATGCCATGACAATTAATAAATCTCAAGGACAATCTTTTGATAAAGTAGGAATATATTTACCAATTTCAGCATTTGGTCATGGTCAAATTTATGTTGGTTGTTCTCGAGTTAAATCTAAGGAACATTTAAAAATCTATGCTCTTCCTTCTGCTGTGTACAAAAGTGTAGAATTTTCTAAAAAGTTATTTATAAAGAATATTGTTTATCACGAAATACTTTGATGTTATGTAGCTTTTATTTATTTCACATTTAATAATTATTTAAAAATGATTGTGGTTACTTGATTTTAAAATTTCTGCTTCAATGTTTGGGTCATGTAAATGCAGTTCTTAAAATATGCACACGAAATGTGTAATCTATTATAAGAATATAAGACAGACATTCAGAAATAAATAGCAATTGATTCTTGCTATATTCTTTAGTAATAATAAACATTTCTACACATTTCTTAGTGTCCTTTCGAATGGCAAGGTCTAAAAGGTGGAGAAATTTTAATTATTAATCGTTACTGACATTTTTTGGGTTTATGCTCAATTTAATAAATAATGAATTTTGAACTTTGGATATTAAAATTTCGAATTTGGATACTGAATTTTGTATATTGGATTTAGGATATTGAATTTTTGATTTTCGATATTGACTTTTGGATTTTGGATATTGAAGTTTGGATTTTGCATATTGGATTTTCAATGTTGGAAATATATTTTGCATTTCTTGCATTGGTACTAAAGATTTGTGTATTTTGAAAATTAGAGAACTTTAGTATTTAAGATATTTGCATTGTGAATATTAGATAATATTCGTATTAAAAATATATTGATATTGGGTATTAGATATTGGATTTTGGATTTTCAATATTGCATTTTTAAAATGCAATTTGGATATTGCATTTTGGATTTTAGATATTGAATTTTGGATTTTGGAAATTGAATTTTGCATGTTGCATATAAAATTTTGGATATTGGATTTTAGATATTGAATTTTTGATTTCGGATATTGAAGTTTGGATTTTGCATATTGCATTTTGGATGTTGGAAATATATTTTGCATTGGTAATAAAGATTTGTGTATTTTGGAAATTAGAGAACTTTATTATTTAACATATCTGGATTTTGAATATTAGATAATATTAGTATTAAAGATATAATAGTATTGGTTATTGGATATTGGATTTTGGATCTTGCATTTTCAATATTCAATTTTGGATTTTTCATATTAAAATTTGTATACTGTAATTTGGATATTACATTTTTAATTTTAGATATTCAATTTTGAATTTTGCATATTGCATTTTGGATTTTCAATTTAGAATTTTGGATGTTGGATACTGAATTCTTGATATTTGATTTTGGATATTAGAATTTAGATATTGAATTTAGTTTTTTGGATATTGAATTTTGGATTTTGGATACTAAATATTGGATTTTTGATTTTCGATGTTGGAAATATAATTTGAATTTTTTTTGTATTGGCACCAAAGATTTGTGTATTTCGAATATTAGATAATTTTAGTATTGAAGATAATTGGATTTGCAATAATAGATAATATTCGTATTTAAGATAAATTGATAGTGGGTATTAGATATGGGTCAAATTTTCTCAAAAATATCAAAGTTGGTCGTGGGTCTTTTAATTTTGATGAAATCGAGTGTAATAATAGTATTGTATAAGGAAAGAACAAGGAAAAAAAATGTCTATAAATTTTCAAAATTTTGGATTTTACCGGGCATCAAAGTTTGAAGTACTGATTTTTTCAAAAGCCAATATCTTAGAGGCACTTTAATCAATTTTATTCATATTTAGGGGAATATTAATTTGTGTTCGTACAATTTTTAAGATATGAGTGTTATAAAAAAATTCACAATGCATCTAAAAATAATTGAAGTTTTGGAGAATTTTATTGAAATGGGTATTTAAAAAAATTAGGATTTTTAAAAATTTCAATTCAATTATTTTAAGATAATTAAATTTTCAAAAACAATCAATTGAACAATTTTTAAATGAATCAAATTTTGTAGAATTGTTTTGAAATGAATTGAATATCTTAAAGAGTTTGATTAAAATTGTTGAAAGTAATCGAGTTTTTGAAGAATTTTAAATAAAAATTTTGAAAATAATTGAACTTTACGAAGAGCTACACTTGAAATTATTCACAAATAAATATTTAACAGACAAGAATTTCTTTCTGTGCGTATGTCATCAATTTCAAATTGAATCGAAATATTAATTCTTTAAAAAATTTATCTTGAACCTTTATAACCTAACTGCAACCTTTTATAATAACGTCAATAATTTTTATTCCATTTTACAAAAAAAGGATTTAAATATAGACCTGTTCTGTGGATTTGTCTATATTAAGCGTTCATTAGTTGTTTGCGAATGAAATAAAAGTTCCTTCATTAAACGATGAAAATTCCACTTTATACTTGTTATTAAAAGCTTACAGTTTCAAAAATTATTTGTAAAACGTCCTTCAGAAAATACGTCTTTTATAAGTTATCAGCTTTACAAATTTTCATACATTTAAAACTTTCTAAAAACTTCAGAAATAAAAGTGTCTATAAAATAATGAAATATCCAAAAGTTTATTTAAAGCATGCATTTTACGCGCGTTTACGCGCGTTTATTTTAGCTAGGAATATGATAAAAAAATTAAAAATTGTTAATATTTAAAAATATTATAATGTTCGTGAAAAACTCATTAAGGGCCATAAATAGAAAATGTCATTAGGCCCAAGAACTTCGCTCAGGCCCCGCTCGGTGCATGCGTCCCTCGAGCTCCGAGTTTATGGCCTGGCCTGTAGAGTGGGGCTATACAACTTCCCCTTACAGGACGCAATCGATGACTGTCGTTGTTTCATCTTTTTTGCTCTTCACATTTTTTCGCGCTCTCTCTTTCTCTTTCTCTCTGCCCACACAGCACAATATATTGCTGTAAGCTTACCTCAAGCTTACATGTAATTTTTGTAAGCTAACTTACATTGTAAAGTCATGGTAAGCTTACACGGTAACATCACTGTACGGTTACAGTAAGTTTACACGGTAAGCTTATATTAATTGCTAACAAAGAACAAAGTATTAATTTATCAACTTACAGTAAACAATAAATTGTTTTGCACAATTATATTTATTTTATCATTTATATAAAAACCCCGGTAGGGTTTGCTTAAAAAAATTTACTGCGCATTCGTAAGTGCCATAGAAAGCTACTGCGCATAAATATTTTAAAAAAATTATTTATTGATACCTTTGAAAACTTGCCGTGTAAGCTTACTGTAACCTTACCATGACTTTACAATGTAAGTTAACCATGACATTACTGTGTAAGCTTACTGTATGGCGGACATTTTTATATTACCTCGACCTTACCTGAAGCTTACAGGGTTAGCTTACAAAAATTACATGTAAGCTTGAGGTAAGCTTACAGCAATATACTGTGCTGTGTGGGTGGGTATAACGTGAACTACAGTTTTTAATCGCATTCTCTTGTAAAGTTTCAGATCTCGAATTTTGAAGTAAATTTTCTACGATTTGTATTTTCTAAACAAAATATATTTTCGTTGTAAACTTTTTTTTGTTACGGAGTTCATTTTATTTCTTTAAACAATTAAATCTCTGTTTAAATTAAAAAAAAGTGTTAAATTGTTCTTTTGAGAAGAAATTGGGTGACAAATGAAAACTAGGTAAGTGATTTTTTCTAAATTAAGTGTTTAAAAATTATAAAAAAGTAATTATTCTAAGCAATAATAAGAGATTCATTTTCAAAGTAAGTGTATTTGTGGTGATATTTTTTAGAAAATATTTTTTATACGTATTATTTTCATTTGTAATTTCAAATGAAAATATATTTTCGTTATAAATTTTTTTTGTTACAGAGTTAATTTAATTTTTATTTCTTTAAATAATTAATTCTTTGTTTAAATTGGAAAAAAGTGTTAAATTGTTCTTGTAAAGAAGAAAGATAAAAATAATTTGAAAAGAATTTGGGTGACAAATGACTTAAAAATTAAATTTCAGAGTAGGTGTATTATTTAAAAAGGAAATATTTTTCTTAAAGAATTTTTTCGAACACGAAAACTTATTGTGGTGATTGATTTTCGCTGGCGGATTGTGTTGACTGTGTTTGGACCGAGTTCAGTCCCAACTCGGTCCAGTGCGGCCCGAGGCCAAATATCATAATAAATTAATGAAATATGATGAAATAAATGATTAAAGTTGATAAATAAGTATTTAAAAAGTTAATATTATTACAATCGCAATATTAAAAAAAATAACACCTACATTGACAGGCAAACAACTCACTCTATAATTATTAATTAAAGTTTAATAAAAGCTTAATTTAAATAAATTTTTCCACAAATTAACTTTTTAAATACTTATTTATCAATTTTAATCATTTATTTCATCATATTTCATTAATTTATTATGATATTTGGCCTCGGACCGCACTGGACCGAGTTGGGACTGAACTCGGTCCAAACACAGTCAACATAATCCGCCAGGGATTTAAGAAAAGATTTTTTATGCAAGTTATTTTAATAAAAGAAAAATGTCAAATTCAGAAAGAAAAGGTTGCTTAAGTGCTCCAGATTTTAGCATTATAGATACTGTAGGAGAAAAGTTAAGTGATAATCAAATTAATGTATTTGCACAACTATTGCAAAGAGTACCACAATCAGTTTTTGATATGCAAAAATCTTAGTATTTGCAAATTCTTGATTTAGTTATTCCGATTAACAGAAATCAAAAGCATATTTGAATACTTTTTAGTGGTTCTTGTAGTCTTGGTCATTGGATTTGCACTTATTATGATGGATTAAGGCTTTATATTTATGATATTCTTAATAAAGGTTGTTTAAATGAGGATCAAATAAAATATTTAGAAAGATTATATCCCTTTAAACCAACCGTAGTTTTTGCAAAAGTTCATCAACAACCGAATGGTATTGATTGTGGAATATTTGCAATAGCATTTGCAACATCTTTATATTTTAATATAATGCCGAATACTCTTGATTACGTTCACAGCAGAATGAGGCAACATTTCAGCTTAATGTTTAAAAAGAATTGTTTATTTCCTTTTCCTGCAAAAATAACGTCTGAAACTAGAAACTTAATTATTGAAAACGATTGAAATTTAGAAAGTAAGAATAAAAAATTGCGTTTAGAAACAGAAATTGAAAAAAAGCAGCGTCTAGAAAATGATTTAATGCGTAAAAATTTAAAAATTTTGACAGAAACAGAGGTTTAAAAAAAAGAGCGCCAACAAAGGAATGTATTATGTAAGAATATTACATTTTTATTGAAAACGGAGGTTAATAAAAAAGAGCGTCAAGAAAGAGATTTCACCAATAAATAAATAAAAAGAATACTAAACAGTTAGAAACATTAGAAACTGCAATTATATCTTTAGATGAATTTGATAAAAAAAATATTTCTAAAAATTATTTGGGTGAAAGGTCTTCAGATAATAATTTTAATAGCTGTTGTCACAAAGAGAAAGTAAAGTTAAATGACTTAACTCCTTATCCTGAGTATTTAACCAATTTATTATGTGACTCTATCTCTGTGGGTAAAAATTATAGAGAAAATATTCGTTCGTATAACAGTTCATTTGCTTTTGCTAGCATGGGAGCTAAATTAGAAGTTCCAAAAGGAAAAGGTCCGTATGTTTTCTGCATTCATGGACAAGTACATCATTGTACATACTCTATTCATCCAAATGATGACGATAGTCGAAAAAATGGTCAATTGTATATAATTGATTCAAATGCAGCTGTAAAAGAAAGATTAAATAACGAATATAATAATAAATGTTTGATGAAATTATTATCGGAAATTGATATTTTACTTAGAGAGATTAATCCATATGCTAAAGCTTAAAATTGATTTTTTAGGTTCAATAAAAATTAATTTGTAAAAGCATTCATAGTTAAAATTTCACAATAGATGGATTCTTTCAACTTCGAATGCTTTTACAAATTAATTTTTCTTGAACCTAAAAAAATCAGGTTCAAAAAATTCTCAGAACTGTCATGATCTTTTTGATTTGATTTGAATGTAAAAAATATTTGGAATGTTTGTATGTATTTCTACAATTTTTCTCTATTATTTATTACTTTTTAGGAAGCCATAATAAAAGCATTCTATTTAAATAAAAAAATTTTTTTTACATTATATTTTTATTTATTTTAGTATATTACCTACTGAGTATCCATTTAGTATATTTTCAATTAGCTCTTTTCGGGACTAAAATTCCAGAATTTTTTCTTTTGCTCTGGCTTTGTTTTTGAGTTAGTGGAGCAAAAATAAGGTAAGGTGTAAGGCGGCTTCCATAAATGATGTCACAGGATTTTCGGACATTTTCGACCCCCCCCCCCTCCCCTATGTCACAATTTGTCACATTTTTTCAGACCCCCCCACTCCTATGTCACGTCACAATATTCAAAACAGTTATTTTTCATGAAAAAAATCTTTTTTCAATAAATAGAAACTTAGTTACTTTAAATAATCCCTCAACTAATGAATTTGCTTATTTTTCAAGCATTTTTAATGCAAATATACTTGCAAAAGAAAATCAGGACAAAATTAATAATAATTGCGCACTAATTGTATTCTGAATTTTCCCAATTTTATTCAAAAACAAATATTAATTTTTATAAGTTCTGATTACATTATTATTAGTTTTAGAGCTATAAAAATAATTCTTATAAATTTTGTTTTAAACATAAATAATCTTTGCATACCTTAAGGTTAAGTTAGTTTAACGTTGGCACTATACTGGCTTGCGCAAACGGCGCGCTTTATGAAAGATATTTAAATTTCACGAAGTAAAAAAATTGATTTCTTTATTTAAATGAAAGTTACTTTTAAAGTAAATTCGTGATGTCACAGTTTATGAAACACCCCCCCTCCGCCCTGTCACAATTTCGTAAACCCCCCCCCTCCTCCTCTAAGCCTGTGACATCATTTATGGAAGCCGCCTAAGGTACTGTTTTTAAAAAAATCTGTTATTTAATTTTTTTACCTCCTAAGTTTGAATTTGTCCGATTAAAGGCACTCTCACACCTTTTTGGCTGCCTGCAGGTTACCATGACAACGCATGAGAGTGAGTGCGACAGAAAATTTAAAAATTGGAATATTCAAATTTTCTGTCTTACTCACACTCGTGTGTTGCCATGGTAACCTGCAGGCAGGCAGGCAGCCAAAAAGGTGTGAGAGTGCCTTAAAGGTGGTCTGTTTTAAAAAAAATCTGTTATTTAATTTTTTTATCTCCTAAGTTTGTATGTCTCCGGTTAAGGGTTGTTAGGAAATGCGTTAGATTTTCTGCGTTATATTAAACAGAGACCAATTTATATCATTTATCCAGAAAGAGGAAGACAGAAAGATATTTTCACTAAATGGTATCCTTACTATGAAATGAGTAGATAGGTAAATTAGCTAAAGCAAGATATTCTTATACTATTTTTCTGGACTGACGAGAGAAAATTAGAGCGTAAAATTTCAAGCGTTACTTGACAAAGAAAAAATTATGTCATTTTCCTTGAAAAAGAAAGAGAGAATGAGTAACATAGTAATGTCTATCTACTGCTACCTGAGCAAAGAACATTTTATTTTTCTTTTGTTTTAGGGTTTCAAATACCTGTCTTTCGTGCATTGACAGTCATTAAAGAAGGACTATTGCTTTGTAGGGTTTGTTCGTCCCAGAGTCAAGAACTGTTACTTCAAGTTTTATGACTCTTCATTAGTATGTAAGAAAACAATATAATTTTTTTTCGTATTACTATGTGAAGAAAACTTTATTTTTCAGAATATTCGTTTTATGACGATTTCAACGATATGATATTCAACAAAAAAATCCTAACTTCAATTTTGTTTTTTTAGGATTCGTTCAGTATAAGATTCGAAAAAAGCTATTTGAATATTGATTTCCCTTTTGTGGATAGGTTTTTAATACCTGACTTTCGGGCATCGACCGTCATTAAACAATATCTTTTTTTAAAGGGTTTCCTCGATTCTAGAGTCGCGAACTGTCCTTTCAAGTTTTATGGCTCTTAATGAGTATGTGAAGAAACAAAATTATTTTTTATTTTGTCTAAATATGTAAAAAAATGTTTCTCGTAATCTGTGTTTCGTGACGATTCCAATATATTTGACATAAACATAAGAACATTATTTTATCCTGAGTGTAAAGAAATATATATATATATATATATATATATATATGTGTGAAGTAGTTAAAGCATGACATTATAAATATTATATTATTTTAATGAATAGAAGAGTATGCGGACAAAAATTTTAAAAATGTACCAAATTCGCTTGAAACTTGATATTTTAAATTTATTCAAAAGTAAAACTATTTTTGAATCCGCTATTTGCCGTACCTGGAAACACGAAAGAGGACAAAGTAAAAATTTTCGACCATATTAGTTTGACATTTTGAATGCTTTAATTTTAACCTAAAATTTGGATGAAGATGATAAATGATTTATTCAATTTGCTTGTTTGGCATTAGAGATTGTAGGACACATTTACCGATTCATTATTCCTACTCCAATCTTTCCGATGAACATATTTCCTACAACTAATATTTTCCAAAGAAAGATTTTTCCAATAGCTAAATTTCCCAAATCTTAAATTTTTCACAACGGTCAGACATTCGCTTTTAATATTGAATACAACTCCATATTTTTGTAAAGTTAATTTAATATAAAGGTATATTTAAAGAAGATGTATATAATATAATCTCAGGATCTTTTATTACATTTATTTTACTGCCGTTCGACTGAGTAATGGCAAGAGTCGAACATTTCGGATATCGCCGACACCTTCAAAAAATGCAGACATTTTTTTCAGAATGTTTGTGATATAAAAGCCCTCAACGTGTAAAAAAAACTTTCCCCCTTGTTTCTAGTAACTCAGCCAAGATTAAAAATAAATTATGAAACTTATAATTAAAATTAAATAAAAAAAGACTAGACAATTTTGACGCAGTTTGACAAGAAGAAACAAAAAAGATTACCAAGTATAATATGAAGTTAATTGGATGAAAGATTGAAGGTTGTGAAATCATTAGATTGGAAAAAGTATAATTTTTGAAAAGAGTAGGTTAGGAGAAGCATACTTTAACAAAATAATATGTTGGGAAAAGTGGACTATGGGAAATAGAAAGATTGGGAATTTTAACTATTGGCAAAAACAGATTGGGAAATGTGTAAAGTAAGACAAAATAAATATTTCGAAATCAAACTTATTAGCTTTATTAAAAGTTTTCATAGTTTTTTTTAAATTTATTCCATCCAATTTTCAATTTATTATTCAATTAATTCAATTCGTTTCATGAATTTTTATTTGTTTAATATTTAGTACAATTTTTAAAAAACTTTTCAGTTAATCGTTTAATTTTTTTAAGGATTTTCTTTTTTTCCCACACATCACATTATATTTCATAAACATTTCATGAATATTTGATTGAAAGATTTGAAATATTTCAATGCAAGGTTCATGAAATGTTGATGAAAACAGGAAAATGTCCGCCTATAAGAAATATTGCCGTGAAATTTTGCTGAAATATTACACATTAAGACTCCTGCAATATTACAAATGAAGACTCTGCAATATTCAGAAAATATTTCAAAGAAAGTTAGAAACTTTTTTAAAATATGAAATCAATCGTTATTTTCTAACATGTTCAACACCTTAGGATCCTTAGCATCATTTAAGTTGGAATTTTTCTATAATATTTTAATGAAATATTTCAGCAAAATTACACGGCAATATTACTTATAGGCGGACATTTCCCTAATTTCAGCAATATTTCAAGGACTTTACATTGGAATATTTCAGAAATATTTAGAAAATATCATGTGCTGTGTGTGTTTATACGTTATTTTCTCATTTTGTTGTTAAGTTCCTTTATAATTTTTTATCATTCTTTGCTCATTTAATAAATTTTATAGTTTTTCATAATTTTTTCATTTCTTAGAAATGTTGTCCCTTCTCTAAACTGAATAACTTTTTCCTTATATTATTCTTTTTTAATAGATTCTAGTCAGTTTTTTTTGCATTTTTTCCTGTATTTTTACAAATTTCCCAATCGTTCCTATATTTCAATAGTTTTTCGTTCTGTTATAACATTTTCTTTAATTTTTTAAAAATATTTCTGTAAATCATTTCAATTTTTTTTAATTTTCAGATTCTTTTTATATTCGTTTATAAATTCTTTTATTTTCTTACAACATTTTATTTTATACAATTTTTAACATTTCATAATTTTTTTAAAATTTAAAGCTGTTTAGTTTTTGTTTTGGGCATTTTTAAATAATTTAAGCTTTTTTCGTCCTTTAAAGCTTTGTTCTTACATTTTTTAAACTCCTTCATTTTATGAATAATCTCCTTAAATTTCTTATATTTTAAGAATTTTCTTTTCTTAACATTTCTATAGTGTGTTTTACAAAACTTAAGTTATTAGGATTTTTATACTTATTAAACTGCTTAATTTATTAAAAATTTGTTGGCTTATATTTTTCTCATCTTTTTGATAATTTACTTTACTTTTTAAATTTTTTATTCATGATTTTTCAGATATTTTAAAAAGTATTCTACATTTTTAAAAATTTGTGAATTATTTTTTAATAAATCTTGTTATTTTCTCTTATCCCTAGATTTATTCTTTTATCTATATTTTTATATATTTTGAACCATAAAAAAAATTATTGCAAACTTGTTTTGCTTATCACTACAAAAAAATAAAATATCAATAAAAATTAATTTATTTATAAATTATTTAATTTTATTAGTGAAAGTAATACTTTTTTTAGGGTTCCGTACTCGGTTCGGAACCCTATTAATATCGGTTTTTTTGAAATCGTGTACCCCTCCCCCCTAGCGGCCATATAAATTTATCTGGAGGGCTGAAAATTAGTAAACATATGTATTTTCGCGTGTAGATTACAGGAAAATTATAGCGAACTTGATTGGAATTGATTAACATAGCGTTGTCAAGGAAAAACCATGAATTTTTACGAAAAATGCCTAAAAATGACTATGTACCCCCCCCCTAGCGGCCACATCTTTTGACATAAAGAGCTCAAATTTGACACACTTACGTATTTTTACGTGAAAATTACAGGAAAATTATAGCGAACTTGATTCGGATCAATTTACATAGCGTTGTCAAGGAAAAATCAAAAATTTCGAAAAAAATAATTTATTCTCCCTAGCGCACACAATATTCAACCCAGACAGATCATATTTAGTATACAAATGTATTTTTACGGGAAAAATACAGGGGAAAAAAAGCGGTCACGATTAGAGTTGATGATTAACTTTTTATCAAGTTTTTCAAGAAAAAATGACAATTTTAGGAAAAAAATGTATTTTTCCACCAAAAACGAACAAAATTTTATTTAAAGGAAATTAAATTTATATATTTTAACGTATTTTTACGTGTAGATTACAAAAAAAATATAGCGAGCATGATTGGAGTTGATTATCATAGCGTTGTCAAGGAAAAACCATGAATTTTTACGAAAAATACCTAAAAATGAGTATGTACCCCCCCCCCTAGCGGCCACATCTTTTGACATAAAGAGCTCAAATTTGACACACTTACGTATTTTTACGTGAAAATTACAGGAAAATTATAGCGAACTTGATTCGGATTAATTTACATAGCGTTGTCAAGGAAAAATCAAAAATTTCGAAAAAAATGATTTATTCTCCCTAGCGCACACAATATTCAATCCAGACTGTTCATACTTGCTGTAAAACTCAATTTTTGCGTGAAAAATACAGGGAAAAAATGTAAGCGCGATTGGAGTTGATGATCAATTTTTATCAAATTTTTGAAGAAAAATGATAAATTTCAGAAAAAAATGTATTTTTCCGCAAAAAACGAAAAAAGTTTTTCTACAGTGATTCAAATTTATATATTTTGACGTATTTTTACGTGTAGATTACAAAAAAAATATAGCGAGGATGATTGGAGTTGATTTTTCTGGAATTAATAAACAAATTTTATTTTTTAGATAACTTTCGATTTTTCCTTGACAAGCAGCTACTAGCCTTATATCAATATCTTAAGTTTTATCTCTTTTTGACTTAGAAAGATAAAATTTAATATTCAATATATTTTTAAAATGTAAATACAATAAAAATATTGCGAGTTGAAATAAAATTATGTTTCTTATATTTTTTTAGTAAAATATTTTTTAAAAAATAAAATCGGACAAGTGCGAGTTACACTCGCACTGAAATCGAGGGTTCCGTACTCGAAGCGAACTTATTTGGTATAAAAACAAATGTTTAAAAAATATGTGTTGTATGACAACTAATATAAGTGATACGAAGAGGAACAATTTTCTTGAATTTTACAAAATTGTTCCTTTTTGTATCACTTATATTAGTTGTCATACAACACATATTTTTTAAACATTTGTTTTTATACCAAATAAGTTCGCTTCGAGTACGGAACCCTCGATTTCAGTGCGAGTGTAACTCGCACTTGTCCGATTTTATTTATTTATAATGAAGATTCAAAAACAGAAATTTAAACAAGCCTATTGGCAGATATATCCTGGACAAAAGATCCGGATAATATCCCACACAGCACAACATCTTACACCAGGCCTACAGCAGGCTTACATGTAAGGTTTGTAAGGTAACATCGTAAGCCCATAGTAGACTTACAGTAAACCTAAAATGTCCGCCTTACAGTAAGCTTACATGGTAGGGTCGAGGTAAGCTTACATGGTAGGGTCCAGGTAAGCTTACACGGTAAGGTCGAGGTAAGCTTACACGGTAAGGTCGAGGTAAGCTTACATGGTAGGGTCGAGGTAAGCTTACATGGTAGGGTCGAGGTAAGCTTACATGGTAGGGTCGAGGTAAGCTTACACGGTAAGGTCGAGGTAAGCTTATGAGTAAAGGCTGTGGTAAGGTTATTATTAAGTTGTAAGGTTGAGGTAAGGTTGTGGTAAGCTTACAAGGTAAGGCAAGTTATATTCAAATAATAATATTAATAATAAATAAATATTCAATAAAAAAATTTTTCTTTTGCCTTATTCTATTTTGGGAACCTATCATTTCGCAGAAAGTTTTGAAAACAAATTTGGGAGGAGTAGGATTCGAACCCGGGACCGAAGTATATACCTAACAACCTAACCAACTGAGCTAAACGGGGAACTGACAATGAGAAAAGTAATCTTGCTTTTAAGGAGTTGATTATCTTCTTGGTTCCACTTTAAAAGTAAGATTACTTTTCTCATTGTCAGTTCCCCGTTTAGCTCAGTTGGTTAGGTTGTTAGGTATATACTTCGGTCCCGGGTTCGAATCCTACTCCTCCCAAATTTGTTTTCAAAACTTTCTGCGAAATGATAGGTTCCCAAAATAGAATAAGGCAAAAGAAAAATTTTTTTATTCAATATTTATTTATTATTAATATTATTATTTGAATATAACTTGCCTTACCTTGTAAGCTTACCACAACCTTACCTCAACCTTACAACTTAATAATAACCTTACCACAGCCTTTACTCATAAGCTTACCTCGACCTTACCGTGTAAGCTTACCTCGACCCTACCATGTAAGCTTACCTCGACCCTACCATGTAAGCTTACCTCGACCCTACCATATAAGCTTACCTCGACCCTACCATGTAAGCTTACCTCGACCTTACCGTGAAAGCTTACCTCGACCTTACCGTGTAAGCTTACCTCGACCCTACCATGTAAGCTTACCTCGACCCTACCATGTAAGCTTACTGTAAGGCGGACATTTTAGGTTTACTGTAAGTCTACTATGGGCTTACGATGTTACCTTACAAACCTTACATGTAAGCCTGCTGTAGGCCTGGTGTAAGATGTTGTGCTGTGTGGGATGTCAGGAATATTGCGAGCACGATGCTGGCACAGTCAGTCTTGTCATAAAGTAGGTGGCACAAAAGGTGCGTTACAGCACGGACACGGTCCGCCGCTCGTCGTGCCTGTAACGTGCCAGACACGTTTGTTATCTGGGGAGCGTTGCGCTGAGCTGGTTTTTAATTTATAACTTATACAAATATAGCTGTCGCAAAATTCCCTTGGGGGATGGCGTAAGAAGGTGATGAAATAAGTAACATTTTGAGGTAGTTTTGAAAAAAACGAAGGGGGCATAATGTGTTAAAAATTAAAAACAATAATTTTTTTAAGTTTTTTCTATGACATTTTTTTTTTAATTTTTTGGTACACAGTTTAAAACTTTAGAAAATTCTGCAAAAAATATTTTTTTTGGTGTTTTAAAATTCATTCACTTATTTTCAAGTTATAGCGCTTTATAATTATTTTTCAAAAAAGTTTGACCCCTGCCGGCAATCCCGCATTATACGGACGTGAAATCATGTTTTTTATTTTAGTTTTTACTTATATTAAAACATATCTATATCATTACCAAAAAAAAATTTTCAGTGGCTTTTTTCAGAGAATGCTTTTTATTTCAATGTGAGAAATCAATTTTTTAGACAAAAAGATTAAATTTACAGTGTAAAAAATTTTTCGGTTTTAAAAATCGTGAAAAGTGCCGGAAAAAATTATGTGAATATTTTTTGAAAACCTTGTTTCTGATTTCAGATATTGATGAGTAAAATAAGCCAACAAAATTTTAGGACAATCCATCAAAGTGTTTTGGAGATAATTTGTACACAAGATTTTGTGACATACACACAAATATATTTGGACATTTGTTTAAAACCCATTTTAAAAAAATCGTTACCAATACAAAGCTCCCTCCTTCCGGAAGGAGAGATAGCAATATAAAAACAATATAATTTATAGAAAGATTTTTTTAGTTAAGTTTGAAGGATTATTAGATATTGATGATGAAATTAGTGTTACAAAGGTAGATAATATAAATATTTCAGATCATATAAAATTACGAGAAGAAACTTATGCGAATTTAAATTTAAAACAAAAAGGAATTGTTGATTTTATATTGAATGTAGTGGAGGATTCTTCTACTGATGGTTCTAAATGCTTATATGTAAATGGTCCTGGAGGTTTTAGAAAAAAAAACTTTTGTACACTACTTTGTGGCACTTATTATTAAGTAAAGAAAAAACTGTTTGTAACATGGCATTTACAGAAATTGTTGCGTCCTTACTTCCAAGCAGTAAAACTCTTCATACAGTTTTGGGCTTACCTGTTCCACTGTATAGTGATTCATCTTCAAATATAAAAGAGCGGTCTAAAGAAACACATTTTTTGAAAAATATTGATGTTTTTATTTGGGATGAGGCGCCAATGACTCCGAAATCTTCTCCATAAATTATGAATATGTTATTAAGAGATATAATGTAATCAAATTATGTTTTTGGTGGTCACGAGAAACAGAATGTTTGAATTTTTTATTAAAAGTTATTGTTCTGCGTCAACACAATCAACTTTTCTAGTCTTCCGATATTTGCTGCTTAAATTTATCCCATAAGTAATGCTGAACTGAATGATACTGATTATAATATTGAGTTACGAGATAAAATAATAATACGACAGGGATGTATAGACATTGTTGAAGAAACGTACAGTGGCTTGATAAAAAATAAACAATTTCAGGATATGTCAATGTGTGAATAAATTCTGTAGTAATGCTGATTAGAAATCTTAGTATTATTGAAGGTTTATGTAACGGAACAAGATTACTCATTTTAGGTTTATCAAACAATGTTATTAAGTGTCAAGCATTAACGAGAGTTTAACTTTTTTTTGTGAAAATATATATCCCTTTATTTTTAAAAAAAGACACAATTCCCTATAAAATTAGCATTTGCAATTACTATATAAATAAATAGCAAGGACAGACGTTTATTGACTTAAGAAGAAATTTTCTTAATAACGTCATATGTATGTTGCATTATCAAGGGTAGGTTCATTCGATTCCGTAAAAATTTATTAAGGTGATAATAGGAGTAATAATTATATAAAAAATTATGTCTACAAGGAAATTTTAGAAACAGTTGAAATACTTTCATATAATTGTAAGAACACAAAAAGCACAATTTGAGTGGTTTATAATCATAAGTATCATTCAATAACAAATTTTCTGTCTTTAACGCAAAATAAACAAGTTGAAAAATGAACTTTTTGCGTTCATGAAATGAACACTTTGCTTTCTCATGGATATATTTGTGATCAGTTTATGGTAACTTACATAGTATTATAATAACGTTAATAATTCTGAATAAAATAACAGTAAGATATTCGCTAATAGGTCAGAAGCTGCCTCTTTAAAAGCTTTACAAAACTAGAGATAAATATCTATTGGTGTCAATACATTTTTTTAAGTTATGGGCAAAAAAAGATTTTTCAAAAAATTTTAAATGCAAAATAATAATTACTCTTTATTAATATAATTCAAAGTACTCTCATTATTTGTCCGCCAGTGAGACCTACAATTTAAGAAAAATTTATCTCTTTAGCTCTTATAGTATTCGAGATGTTTATGAAAATGAAGTGTACATACATACATACACACACACACGTAACGAAATTTTTAAAACATGTGATTTTTGGATTCCTAAGGTCGAAAAAATAAAGATAAATCAAAAAATCGAATTCGAGAAATTGCGGTATTTTAATGCTTCCTGCATAAGAAAGCAAAATTTATTCTTTTATTTTCAAAACGAACGAAAACAATTTTCGTACAGAACTCTTACATATTAAAGCTATACATTGTAAGGAGTTGTAACTAGATTGGCATCTACGAGGTATGGTACAAAATAATTCTTCGTAATAATGCGGTAAATCTCTCAAATAAAATTTCAAAAATAATGTTTTATGATTTTTCTCTAGTACGCAAATTCAAATTGTTTCTTTCATAAGTAAATTATTAACGTTTTGAATAAGAAACAGGGCACGCGTCGCGCGCCAAAGTTGTTCTAGTAAGTGATTAATAATGTCAAGGAATAAAAATTACAAAATTTTTCCAATGCTACACTGAAAAAAAATTTATTCGGATCAAATAAAAAGTATTTGATCCAAATACATCATTTACTTGTCTATTATCCAATAAATATGTATTTGAACCTAATACACATTTACTAAACCTAAGTATTTTATTTTATCGTATCAAGTAAATAGTTATTTGAATCAAATACAAAGTATTCAAATCAAATAAATTGAATATTTAAAGCTAATAAATAATTATTTGAATCAATTATGAATATTATTCCATTCAAATAAATATTTACTAGACATAAGTATTTTATTTTATCGTATCAAATAAATAGTTATTTGAATCAAATACAAAATATTCAAATCAAATAAATGGAATATTCAAAACTAATAAATAATTATTTGAATCAAATATGAAAATTATTTCATTCAATACTGCATGTTTTTTGATTCAAATGAATATTTATTTGCATTAATAAAATATTTTTCTTGAAACAACTAAAAATTTTCTTGAATTTTTCGATTATTTATCATAAGTAATTGTTTTAATTGAAACTGAAACCTCTTTAATTGCGGCAATTATTATTTTATTTGATCCAAATACATAATTTATTTGCATAAAATGTAAGAACTTTTTGATTCAAATAAATCAAAATTTGAATTGAATAAATAACATATTTATTTAATAATTCTTCCATTTCTAAATTAAATTCTTACTCAAATAAATAAATTAAAAAATATGTAATTTCTACATACTATGATCGCATATTTACATTTTTCAACTAATTCATACATAGAATTAATTATTAAACGCAAACCTGAGAAATAAATAAAACAAACGCATGGGGAGAATCGAACCTACTACCTACGGATTATGAGTCTAACGCTTTACCAACTACGCTACGCACGCTACGTGAAAGCGAATGTTAACTTCTTGATGTCATTTAAACTTGCAAAAGACCTAACTTAGAAAAGTGCTTAACATCATTGAGTTAAAATTAAAATATTAAATTACATTTTCCAATCAAATGCAATTTATAAAATATAATTAATTATATGCTTCACGATTATAATCATGAATCATCCCAGGTGAATTTTCAAAAAAGTGTAAATATATTTATATTATTATAAGGCTCATTTCATTTAAATTGTCATATTCGTGTCCCTTGTCAAAAAAAATTATTTGATATAACCTTAGTTGAAATTAATTTGTTTATACATATAGTAAAAAGCAATGATTTTCAATAATTTTTCTACTTACAAGGACATAAAAGTGATTTTCATAATATTGGCAGAACAAAAAGCAGGCAAAATGTCATAAGTGTAATGCGTCCCCGGAGACATTTTCAATGTTCAAATGAATGAAATGTCGAAAATATAGTGTTTAAACCAGATTAAAAAAATGTTTGGTGAAGTATTAGTTCTATATTTAAGGAAAACCAAGTTTTTTTGCTACAATGGCTCAAAGTTAAAAAACAATAGCATTATGGGCATAGACTTTTGTGAATTAAAAAATTTTAAAACCTAATTAAATCTGCTTAAAACTCGTTACTCGGGGGTTTTTGGGGTCGCTGATTACGAAACCGAGTTTTGTTTTTTAAAATTCAAAATGGCGGATCCAATATGGCGGACGACTTTCCTAGAATCTGATTGAATTCGCATGAAACTCATCACTCGGGGGGTTTCGGGGTCGCTGATTACGAATCCGAGGTTTGTTTTTTAAAATTCAAAATGGCGGATCCAATATGGCGGACGACTTTCCTAAAATCTGATTGAATTCGCATGAAACTCATCACTCGGGGGTTTTCGGGGTCGCTGATTACGAATCCGAGGTTTGTTTTTTAAAATTCAAAATGGCGGATCCAATATGGCGGACGACTTTCCTAAAATCTGATTGAATTCGCATGAAACTCATCACTCGGGGGTTTTCGGGTCGCTGATTACGAATCCGAGGATTGTTTTTTAAAATTCAAAATGGCGGATTCAATATGGCGGACGACTTTCCTAAAATCTGATTGAATTCGCATGAAACTCATCACTCGGGGGTTTTCGGGGTCGCTGATTACAAATCCGAGGGCTGGTTTTCAAAACTCAAAATGACGGATCAAAAAAGGTCGATGATTTTAAAAAATAATCATTGAATTCTCTTGAAAATGGTTATTCGGGGGTTTTCGGGGTTGCTTATTATGAACGTGAGGGCTGTTCTTCAAAGCTCAAAATGACTGATCAAAAAAGGTCGACGACTTTTTGTAAAATCGCTTGAATTCGCCTGATTTAAAAGCCAATGACTCCATACTTAGGTACTTTGCCAAATTATTTCCTAATTACCCTTGACACGGATTAAGACAATGAGATGAAAGGTGTTAAAAATTCTAAGAAATACTTGCAGGGTAATAAAACGAATAAGCGCTTATCGAGGGGGCGGTAACCGGTGACACTGAAATGTAGGGAAAGTAAAACTGTGAATCTTCCACAGATCATAGTGACAGCAAAAGAGGCAGTACGTCAAGCCTTCTCAATGTAAACAGCGAAAAAAGCGCTTAAAGCCTGATTCCGTCTGATTTGGACAACAAGATCATTAACGAAAACAGCGTTAAATGCGTTATATTTCGGAAAAAGGAAGCTAAGTTTCTTCTGAAAATCAAGAATCAACAATCCTCGGATTCGTAATCAGCGACCCCGAAAACCCCCGAGTGATGAGTTTCATGCGAATTCAATCAGATTCTAGGAAAGTCGTCCGCCATATTGGATCCGCCATTTTGAATTTTAAAAAACAAAACTCGGTTTCGTAATCAGCGACCCCAAAAACCCCCGAGTAACGAGTTTTAAGAAGATTTAATTAAGTTTTAAAAGTTTTAAATTCACAAAAGTCTATGCCCATAATGCTATTGTTTTTTAACTTTGAGCCATTGTAGCAAAAAAACTGTCCATTATTTTAAGTTTTGCCATTAACATTTTTTGTTCAGGAGGCCTTAAACTACAAAACTACAAAGTTTCAGAAAAATTGGCTGAAAGCCATTTTCCATGCAAAACGTGCGGGGTCCTTTAAAAGGAATATATTTTCAGTTTCCAACTCTTTTGAAATACAATTACCAAAAACTGACATAAATATTATGACATTTAATTATGTCAATATTTAAAAATTTATACTCACCTATGAACTATGATCAATTCAACATTTATATATATATATATATATTTATAATATTATCAAAAGTGCATAAAGCAAATTAATAAAGCAAATACCTTATAATGCAATTATAATGAGCTCTATTAATGGCACTTTCGAAATTTTTTTCTTTATATCACTAAAAGATAATGTAAGTCATTTAAACTAAATAAGTAAACTTAATAATTTATTGATAATATAAATAATC